TTGCTTCCAGGGTTGTAGTTTCGCGAAATGAGTTTGGGGAGGGAGCCGAGCTGTCATGCCAACTTTCAGAATTATTGGGAAGGTAGGTCCCCCCTTGTCCCTCGTCCCCGGCGAACCCGGGAGACTGGGGGGGGGGGGGGGGGCGCATAAAGCAGTTTGCATTGGTCGAGCGCCCACACACAAGGTGCCGGGAAAATAATCAATGCGGAGATCAGTAGCATCGCACGACAAGGCACGCATTTCTTTCTCGCAGTTCTTATGCGTTGAAGTAACAAAGAGAACCGACGTTTATCAATGTGGCCAATACTCAACAAGAAGGAGCAATATGCAAGGGATATGGGTGGCAATGCTCCCAAACTTACCACGGTCGTGTCACGACAACCTCGCATTTTGTCTCACGTGCTCATCACTGAAAAAGCCTGCAGTTTTGTTCTGATGTAGAGTCATCATTTGGCCGCTGCCGTGGTCGCTAGTCACGGCCTGGCCAACAGAACGGCTAAAATATGAAACATTAGCAGTTACTCACGCAAGCACAGCTTGAAATTGCTAATGGATTACGGTGCAGCAGCATCAACATCGCACGGACTTACCTGGCAGTGACAGCCAAATACAGGTCGGATGATAGCACAGGACAACACGAGACGTCTGTGAGAGCCGTGGAGAGCCGTTCGTGCGTGAGCAGCAGTGGCTTCTATTGACTTGCATATCATTTCAGGGCAGAGCCACAAAAGCCTGCTTGAAACCATTATGGAAATGCTGGTCGAGCAGGATATGGTGAGATTCCGTTCGTCCTCGGTTCTATGCGATTTCATGGAAACAAATGGTGACCACTGCCGCCGGACGAGAGGGTTTAGCAAAGCGTGAAATCAGCTGATGTCGCGTCTGGCTTCGGCTCGCGAACGGTCAAGGTCTTATTGAGGACGAGTCCAAGCTGCAGCTGAGTGGCCCATTCAGAGCGATGTCACGGAGCTACTTCCCGCACCAACAAATTGTTAAAGCTGCTATTCGTACAAGAGCTGTAACGAAATGTGTATTCGTAGCAAAATCATTTTTAAAAATCGGTGAAGCATCGAGTGTGCTGGTTTGCTCAGAGGTCATACGAGGACACTCAGCGCACACTGTCACCTCATCGTAGTCATCACTGTCACGTGCGCGTGGTCATCACTGTCACGTGCGCGTGGCCATCACTGTCATGTGAACGTGGCCATCACTGTCACGTGCGCGTGGCCATCGCTGTCACGTGAGCGTAGCCATCACTGTCATGTGAACGTGGCCATCACTGTCACGTGCGCGTGGCCATCGCTGTCACGTGAGCGTAGCCATCACTGTCATGTGAACGTGGCCATCACTGTCACGTGTGCGTGGCCATCGCTGACACGTAAGCGTAGCCATCACTGTCATGTGAACGTGGCCATCACTGTCACGTGAGCGCAGTCATCACTGTCATGTGAACGTGGCCATCACTGTCACGTGCGCGTGGCCATCGCTGTCACGTGAGCGTAGCCATCACTGTCATGTGAACGTGGCCATCACTGTCACGTGAACGTGGCCATCGCTGTCACGTGAGCGTAGCCATCACTGTCATGTGAACGTGGTCATCACTGTCACGTGCGCGTGGCCATCGCTGTTACGTGAGCGTAGCCATCACTGTCATGTGAACGTGGTCATCACTGTCACGTGCGCGTGGCAATCGCTGTCACGTGAGCGTAGCCATCACTGTCATGTGAACGTGGCCATCACTGCCACGTGCGCGTGGCCATCGCTGTCACGTGGGCGTAGCCATCACTGTCATGTGAACGTGGCCATCACTGTCACGTGCGCGTGGCCATCGCTGACACGTAAGCGTAGCCATCACTGCCATGTGAACGTGGCCATCACTGTCACGTGAGCGCAGCCATCACTGTCATGTGAACGTGGCCATCACTGCCCCGTGCGCGTGGCCATCACTGTCACGTGAGCACAGCCATCACTGTCATGTGAACGTGGTCATCACTGTCACGTGAGCGTAGCCATCACTGCCACGTGAGCACAGCCATCACTGTCATGTGAATGTGGTCATCACTGTCACGTGAGCGTAGTCCTCACTGTCACGTGAGCGTAGCCATCACTGTCATGTGAGGGTAGCCTTCACTGTCACATGAACGTGGCCATCACTGTCACGTGAACGTGGCCGTCACCTGTCATGTGGACGTGGCCATCACTTCTAAGTGAGCGTAGCCATCACTGTCACGTGAGCGTAGCCATCACTGTCACGTGAGCGTAGCCATCACTGTCACGTGAGCGTAATCATCACTGCCACGTGAGCGTAGCCATCACTGTTAAGTGAGCGTAGCCATCACTGTTAAGTGAGCGTAGCCATCACTGTTAAGTGAGCGTAGACATCACTGTCGTGTGAGCGTAGCCATCACTGGCAAGATAACGCGGCCACCATAATCACATGAGCGTGGCCATCACTGGGGTCAGCGAGCTCTGGGTCCGACAAATTTATCGCAAAATTGGACTGGTTTTGGCTTATGTTCATGCAGCATCGAAGTGAATTGGACCCTAGCAATATTGAAAGCGTGACTACGTTCTTAATTGGTCTGAGGTAGCGTGGCGCCGCAGACGCAGGCACAAGTTTGGTATATCTGTAGTGCACATAGCTGGAGAGATCGGTGATCGACCGAAAAGGATGGGCTCCGACTCGGCAAGGTCATCGTTGAGTGTTTGTCTCTCATTTCGGGCAGCTGGAAACTATGGGTGATGAACTCGAATGTTTCTGTAATTGATGATCCGTCGCTTGAAGATGATCCGCTAATGAGCTTTGCTATGAGCTATAAAACCATACAATCATTATCAGTATAGGCCGCTGAGAGGAATGTGATGGACTGGAGCGGACAAAACCAATAAATATGCAGCATAACGTGACCGCGACGCCGACTGAGCCAGCGCCGCGGCCGCCGCCTCGCCCTTCTGCAGCCGCCGCCGACGGTGACGCGGGCGGGCCGGGATGCACCATTAACAACGACCGCCTTCCGGTCTGGGGACGAGAGCTGTCGCTGGAGCAGCTCGCCGGCCCGCGGCGCCCGCGGCCGCCGGAGCCAGACCGGAACGATGCGGCCGGCTGGCTCCAGCGCGGACTCTCGAGGCTGGGTCACTCACAAAGGCACCGCCGCGGCGGACTGGTGCCGACAGGGCTGCCAGAAGGCTGGCCCGGATGGGTCTGCCGTCAGACTGGACGTCACGAAGGTGCTGACTGCTGATTGGCTGTTCAGCGATGGGATGATCTGACCAGTTCTGCGGGTGATCTAGCTTGACCTTCCCTGGGTCATCAGGGATCTCCTGTCAGGGGTCTAATCTGTGGACATGACAGGTGGATGGCTGATATGTCTGGCTGGCCTGTTCTCTGAGGGGTAGATATAGCTCTAATCAGGCTGGTCTCTTTTCTGAGGGACAGACATGGCTCTGATCAGGCTGGCCTCTTCTCTGAGCGGCAGACATGGCTCTGATCAGGCTGGCCCTTTCTCTGAGGGGCAGGCATGTCTCCGATCATCGCTCATCAGCTCTGGTCGTTTTAAACCTCTTCTCTGAGGGGCAGACATGGCTCTGATCAGGCTGGCCTTTTCTCTGAGGGGCAAACATGGCTCTGATTAGACTGGCCTTTTCTCTGAGAGACAGACATGACTCTAATCAGGCTGGTCTCTTCTCTGAGGGGCAGACATGGCTCTGATCACCGCTCGTCAGCTCTAGTCGCTTTAAACCTCTTCTCTGGGAAGCAGACATGGCTCCGATCATCGCCCATCACCTCTGGTCCTTTTTCACCGGAGCCACCCGCACATATCTCCTTTTCAAGGTATCAAGGCACTGGAAGACATGCTGGACGTGCTTCCATTCCGACCGTTTCCTTTGTGAGAGAAGTAAGATTTGATCGGACCCGGTCAGAGCTCTGGCTGCTCTGTCAGCTGGCTACTCTGATATTGGGTGATTGGCAATTGGTATCTGATGTGAAAAGTGATATTCTTTGACACCAAGGATTCATTTGGAGATCCTGTCGGCTGGCTTTTAGCCCAGCCAGCTTCGTACGAAGCCAGTTATTTACACTGCCAGCACCATTTTCGAGGACGCTGACGCACAGCCAGGAGCAGAAAACGAGGCCTTAGAGCTGCAGGGAGTGTGGACCAAGGTGCTATTTGGCTGCAGTGGACGCGCCTCCAACTCTCCTTACGCCCCGGGGCCCGGCTCGAGATGCCGTTATTTGCATCGGGATCGCGCGCCTCTGCCATCTAATTACGTCTGGAGGGCTGCGCCGCGTCACACGGCCGTCGGCCGATGAGTGGAGACCAGGCTGCTGTTTCATTAATGAAAAATGTCAGCGGCGTCCTCGCCGAATTTCGTCGGTCACGCGACGTAGCACCGTTTGATCAAGGAATTTTGCAGATCAGGGAACCTAAACGGATATTATAATTGATAGGTCAGGCAATGCCGGTGGCGGCTCTGGTCATTTAAATGGGGCGATGAAAAGAATTATCTTCCATTAAGCTAATGTATATTGTTGGTTTGTCACTGTCTCATTCGATTTCTGCCAGTCTCTTAGTTTTCCAAACATAACCAGTGGCAGCTTGGCGAGTGGCCGATGTCTCCGACTGTCCCGCTCATATAACAATGACGTCACAATGACGTCACTAGAGTTGACTCCACATAGCCTCGCCCCTCTCCCGCTTCCAGTACCAACCAACTGACCGTCTACAAGGCCAAGCAAGCGCAATGGCGTCACTAGACTCTCTCTTCCTCCTTCTCTCTCTCTCTCTCTCTCTCTCTCTCTCTCTCTCTCTCTCTCTCTCTCTCTCTCTCTCTCTCTCTCTCTCTCTCTCTCTCTCTCTCTCTCTCTCTCTCTCTCTCTCTCTCTCTCTCTCTCTCTCTCTCTCTCTCTCTCTCTCTCTCTCTCTCTCTCTCTCTCTCTCTCTCTCTCTCTCTCTCTCTCTCTCTCTCTCCCCCTCTAACCCCCTCCCTTCGGTCTGCAGCGCCAGCCCGCTGACCTATCATCCGACCGAGCGAGCAAGATGACGTCACCATGGGCAGTCCAAACCGGCGACGGCGGCGGGTGAGCTTCTCCGTGGTCAACGGGCCGTCCTCCTGGCGGTGGCGGGCCGGTGAGCGTCTGAAGAAGGCCGGGGGTCACCTCGGCCTCATCCTGCTGCTCATCGTTTACACCGCCGGCGGCGCCAAGGTACCCGACCGCGCGTCCGAACACCGCAATCCGTCCCCGAAACTCAACCTGCTGGAGCGCCTGCCTACCACCCTGCTCGTGACGGATTGGGCGGGTTCCAGCCTCTTCGGTGCTTTCTAGCCACCTCTGACTGGGATGGCCTGCAGCCGGTGGCGGCGGCCGCTCGAGGTCAGATGAGGTCGGGGACGGGACCGTGCCAAGGGACTATGGTAGTAAAGCGGGTATGACGTTCGGCCCTGGACCCATCGTCTTTGGTTCAGGTCCTGACCACTTCACAACCCACTCCGCATGGCAGCTAGTGCAGGCATCTCATCTCTACATCGTCCTAGTAGCCCGTGAGACTAAAAGTATCAATCGCCATCATAGCAAACCGTGCCGAGCATTGCGGTACGCTAAGCCTTCTCCACAACATTCTACCCTTAAACTGAAATCCCACGATTGAGTAGTAAAGTCAGGATTCGCTCGACGAGCCCGCCCAGCATGCTAAGCGACGAAGTTGCATCGTCATGGCTTAGCACCACTTTTCAAGCTCAATGCACTATTTCCTAAGTTAGAGTGTAGGCATGCCTAGATCCTAAACACATGTCCACTCAAATGTTCTGTCTAAGTATATAAACCAGTAGCTGGTGGACGGTAGCCCGGACCCTCCCGATCTGCATCGACCTTGGCTGTCGTGTGACCAGCACAGGTTTGGGCAGCCCCAGGCGGCAGGTCACACCGGGCGCCGCAACCTCTGGGAACTGGTGGGCTTACATACAGCCTCAGAGCTCCGCAAAGTTTGTGATGACGGAATTCACACTCCGTAATTTAATTGATCTCCTGCCTTACGTTTGGGTAGCATTGAGCCGCTTCTCTGATCTTTAAAAGAGTTTTCCATCATGTCAGCCTCCACCTGTGTGTGTCTGCAGGTTATCTTTTTCATAAAACTAAGGTAATTAATTATACCCCATTTGCTCAGTTACACTATTTATTTGCTCATTACACAGTTACACTATGCCGTGCTTATTTTTGCCATTCTGAGGCCTAGTGTTCATTCGACTTCTTTACCTTATTTCAATTTCCAAATTGATCACAATCTGCTTGGCAGCAAACATCTGTTTTCTTGTTAGCATCGTCTCCGATGCAAACGTGGAGGCAATAACGCTAACGTGGCTGGCAATATCGCTACGGCGACTTTTAGGTTTACACGAATACAGTTATCAATGACTCTAAGGGTCGCTAAAGTGAGCTCCCGTAACCTAACTTAAACAGGAAGATCACCTAGTTGCTGAAACTGTTCCTCCCGAAGCATCATAGTATTCTCGCTGCAGTTATTATTCCATGCCCTGATAACTTGATCATCTCTACCCCTTTCCCACCATCATGTGTTTTGATCGCGTACCATCCATCATCGGTGTTTGCGGCTGTTCAAAATGGCCCGCATTGTGCGTGGGCAAGCCAGCTGAAGACGAAAACGATCCTTGTTCGGCCATTCAGTTTTTTTTGGACTCACTCACTTGCTTCAGCTGCAAAGCCTGGCTTACCAGAGGCGCGAATGCGGTGGTGCCGTGAAAAGTACCGTGTGATACCGTGTGAAGACGTCATAAGTTAACATTTTCGCGTTTTGGGCGCTGCTTGCGCACGACCGGTGGTCACCTGTCCGTGTTTCTCTTGTTACCGCTAGTTGCCCGCGTTACGACGGTGGTGGTGGTGTGATAAATGACCCGCAGTGAAAGTAAATCATCAATGCACGGTACAGGCCCAGCGATAGTCCATTTAATTAACTTCGCAAGGGAGGTGGCGCATTTCCACTTCCGAGTTACCAATTTGGGTGCTTTATGGTGTATAATAGCGCAACTACATGGATGTGTTGCAAACAGCTGTGTAAAGCCAGTGTATGGTACCGCATTACCCGCCTGGGCGCGCCTCTGCACATGGCCGGGTCGGACGTGCCCGGCCTGGCGCCTTGTGCCGCCGGGCAGTGGCGCGCCCAGGCATGTGATGCATGAGTGCTGCACCAGTGGTCCGCCACTTTGATGGGCACTCAGCCCTGACCATGTCCCGGGTCCAGATATTCCAGGACATTGAGCTGCCCAGTGAGATTGCCGAGTTCCGCGATGTCTACGCCCACGTGATGCAAGAGCGGCACGAGCTCGTGTGGGGCATCGTCAACAACACGGACGTCATCAACCTGGACCGGCTGGTCGGGTAGGTGGACAGCAAACCATGCTGTACCGACAGGAAAAGGGAAAGGAATGCTCCTCGCCAAGCTCGTGAAGAAAAACAGCCTGAGCCTTGCGGTGTCATATGGCAACAGAATCACAAAATCGGCATGCTCCAACTTGTCGACCTTGTTGAAAATTCTTATACGCCAGTATTCTCAGTCATAGCAAATAAGCTGTAGGACTGGCCCGCCTAAATGAGCATTACTCTACCGAAATGAAAAATATACTAGATGTTAGGAAGTTTAACGAAATGTGGTCCTTCCTGACAATGAATGCACGTATCGTACGGAGGAGCAGTGCAGAACAGTGCTAAATGCTCGCATCAAGGGCCCCAACCACTGCGTGCATGTATCGTTGCGTGCACGACCACCAGACACACTCTAGTCGTAGGTTCCAAACGCAATTCCAGCAGCGGCTCGGGCTCGCGGCGAGGGGGTTCCGGTTCCGTGAGGGATCGCCGTGTTGTCGGCCACAAACTTTAAATGCACCGTAAAACAGGCCACCGAGGAATCTGGTTAGCCTAGTTACCATATATTCTGGTGGAACGATATGACTCGATTACGAACTTGATTCGCGGTGATGACAATTGCAAAGGCACCCATCGATATCCGTCGCGTGACGACGTACCCCGTGTAGTCATGCTCGCTCGGGGTGCCTGATTATGTGAGAGCTGTGGATGGTGGCGACCGTTGGGACACGGCCGAACGCTGGCAGTGCGGGAATCTGTCCCGGGGGGGCAGTGTCCACTCGCTGTCCAATCCACTTATCGGCGAAGGCGACTTCCAGACTTCCTGGACGATCCCTGCAGCCGTGTTGGAGCGAAGTTGTCCAATCTACCGACTGCGATTGGTCTCTTGGCCTTTGCGAACCGTCGCTCTGGACCGAGTGGCCGTTCGTCTTGCTTTGGACGAAGCCAGCGGTATTCCTCATCTCTTGTTTGTCGTGGCGGGACGTACTTATTGACCTCCTCAAGAGTACTTTACTTCGGACCCGACCGCACCCCAGTTTTCAAAAGAGGGGACATCACATATATCTTAGTTCAATTACAAGTAACGGGATCACTCTGCTGTCATAACTTTTGCTCCGCCACTTTGCCTGATATCTGGCCATGCGTGGTCGGTAGCCAGCTCTCTCATTTCGGAAGCAGCCCTTTTCCCGCCCGGGTCTCATAAGGCTCACCGCATTAAAGCTGGTCAGCCAGAGCTGTCACTGCCCATGAAAGATCGGCTGATTTCGGCGAATTATATGAACAATCGCGCTTTTCGTCGGATTCTGAGTTAGCAAAGGAAGTTTCGGCACAAACACACCAGCTGCAAATTCCGAAGTACCTTGGTCTACCGTCAGGACATCCCTTTGTGAGAAGTGGCGTCTCGGTCTATTGCTGAATCGAGTATCTGTGCTCAATAGCTGTGAGCGCGCTGTGACGTCACGTGCCATTGCTCCGGACGAGCACCGCTCCGCACGGCCATGGCGGCTCCCCCTCCCCCCCCCCTAGGGTGATGTCGCCGGCTCGGTGTCGATACCCTCGCGTGACACCGTCGCCCGCCGCCGACTGGGCGTGGCCGGGGAGGATCCCTCGCCTCGGGCGCCGTCAGCGGACCCGGACCGCCGTCGAGGTCGCCGCCCGGACAGGTCGCCGGCGGGGCTGGTGAGGAAAAGGTCTCCCGCGTTGGTTCTTTAGAGGAAGCATCCCATCTTTTTTACTTTTCACTAATTTTTATATCAGACGCGTACGAATTGATCAATAATGATCAGTTTCTCGAAATCCTTCTTGACAGGTCAGAATGTTGATTCGAAGTAACCGACCCTGCGGGAGAAATCTCATTCAACTCTATGCTCACCACTATGAAAGTAATACATTTCATTCGCTTTACTTTTTCCAGTGTACTTTTACTGTAATGCTCTCAACACACAAGTGTGTCCAAATGTTTGTGCAGTAAATACTACGAATGCTTGAAAACTCTGATAAGACAAAAATATGTACGAACATGAAGCTGTTGTCCCGCGAAATGAACAAAATGTCGTAGCACAACGTTGATTTCTCCCCCCCCCCCATGGCTTGTACCACAGTGGCTCTTTTCGAGACCTACTTTGGCTTTGAGAATGAGACTGAAAAACAAGGAAATTTGAGCATGATCCACGTGGCGCAATTGTTCAAACTTCAACCAACCAACTTCTCGGTAGCCACATCTTGCTCGCTAGGGCAATGATGAACGATTTTTTTTATAACATAAGTAGACATGCGCGCGGTGGTTGTCATGACGACGGTAGTCATGACTGCAGAGATGAAACACAATGCTGTTAAAAAGCGTTGGCGATGTAACTCACTCGAAAAAATAATCAAAATTGATATCCCTATCATGTTGTGATGGTGTTGCAAAGGCACTACCCAGTGCTATTATGAGCTGTAACTAGTCCTGAAATTTCACGAGGTCACACTTTTGAAATGTGCCCCAAAGGTGGGACACTTCCGTTAAGATGAGGAGAGTGCCATCAATGTATGGGGAACGGTAATGATCATATGAAGAGAAAAGGAGGAAAGGTGTACGCATATACAATATACATATATATATATATATATATATATATATACATAAGTATACACAAATACACATATATGCATATATCATCCCATTGCTCTATGACACCTCACTGCATTATTTTGTGGACGAACAGATATGCCAGTCATTCCCTGCTTGCATCGATCAAGAGAGGTTGTTGTAATACGTGCCAGAAATAGGTGTACACCTACGCTGCCAGCAGGCTTCATGAATCAGAGCTAGTCTTCTTGTGCTTACAAGCACATGCTGGAAGACTTTGGTGTCCCCAAATACTATCACCAACTAGGACAGAATACTTGGTAAAGCGGCAACAGAACTACTTACGTTTGCATCGAAATAAGCGAGACATGCGTGATAACCTTGCGAAGAGCCGTCGCACGCATCACTTGTTTTCTTTTTCATGTTTTTTTTTTCTTTTGAGTCGTCCTTTTACTGTTCCCGTTTAACGCCACCCTGCTACACACATGCATTAGCCAAACGCCCTCACCAGAATGATACAAGCCAACTATATGTATATGCCTATGTATAGCTACATATGCTCGCGCACAACGCTATGTGGCGCGCTGGCAGCGGAATAATATGTTTTCGATACGTTTTGTCGTATTTAGTCCCGGCTGTGGGATGACGGACATTAGACTGATTGGCTACAAATTTTTTTGGCTTCTGTCGAATCGACTCCTCCAGTGGGAGACTCTCCACAACTATACAATGGGACGTCTCTCTACGGTATTATTTTAGCTCTGTAATTCATTTCAACGATATCACAGTGTGAGGTTCGTCCAATTCTGATCTTATCCTCATAACGGACACTCAGTCCAGGTTAGTGCGACGTCAGATTGCACGGCTACCTTTTCCAAGGCGTTGGCTCCCGTCTATCTGACCGACATCTTGACGACTTACCTGAAGGCCTGTGGCGAATTCGACATGCCAAAATGTCCGACTACGCCCTGAGGGAGCATTCAGAACCGACTAAAATTGTCGTATCTCGACGAATATCCTGGTCCGCGTCTGCGTGACACCAACCAGCGCTCCGTCCGCGTCTGTGTGACACCAGCCAGCGCTCGGTCCGTGTCTGCGTGACACCAGCCAGCGCTCGGTCCGCGTCTGCGTGACACCAACCAGCGCTCGGTCCGCGTCTGCGTGACACCAGCCATCGCTCGGTCCGCATCTGCGTGACACCAGCCATCGCTCGGTCCACGTCTGCGTGACACCAACCAGCGCTCGGTCCGCGTCTGCGTGACACCAGCCATCGCTCGGTCCGCGTCTGCGTGACACCAGCCAGCGCTCGGTCCGCGTCTGCGTGACACCAACCAGCGCTCGGTCCGCGTCTGCGTGACACCAGCCATCGCTCGGTCCGCATCTGCGTGACACCAGCCAGCGCTCGGTCCGTGTCTGCGTGACACCAGCCAGCGCTCGGTCCGCGTCTGTGTGACACCAGCCATCGCTCGGTCCACGTCTGCGTGACACCAGCCAGCGCTCGGTCCGTATCTGCGTGGCACCAGCCAGCGCTCGGTCCGTGTCTGCGTGACACCAGCCAGCGCTCGGTCCGCGTCTGTGTGACACCAGCCATCGCTCGGTCCACGTCTGCGTGACACCAGCCAGCGCTCGGTCCGTGTCTGCGTGACGCCAGCCAGCGCCCGGTCCGTGCCTGGCTCACCTGCCGCCGGCCCCGCTCCCCGCCCGGGCAATATCCGGCCTGCCGCGGGTCACGGCCGTCGCCCTCGACTCCGTCCGGTCGCCGGCGCGGCGAACGGCGGGCACAGGCAGGACCGCAGCTGCGCCCTATGTGTGCCCGGTGTCCGGAAATGAGTCTGGACACGGCTGCCGGACGCCGGCCGGCGCCGACGAGGACTCACGACGCAGGCCGGAACTCAGGTGCCGGCTGTGACGGATGGGCGGAGGAAGGAGGGAAAGGGTCGGAAGGTGGGGACTGCACGGCGTCTCTGTTGTCGATCCGCGAGGCCCGTCGACACTGTGGGCCGCCGCCGACAAGAAGCGTAGCTGTCCCCCACTCTTCAGGCTATCGCAGTTTTCCGCGTTGGTCGACCCGATTTGCCGGACATCAAACCGACGCTCTTTGCCGCTGAGCTCTGAATCGGCCCTCGAGGGAAGCTCAGCCGAAGGACCGCGGAATGGTCCTGGTCCGGCCGCCGGGGACCGTTTACGGAAGGGCGGCTCGGCCGTCCCATGCGGACGGAGGCGGAATAGATGGGGCCGATAGCGGCGAGCCGTATCCGCGAGCCCAGCAAAGAGGGCCAGGCCAGCGGCTAGTGTGGCTTCTTTTCCCCGGTGTTCCCAGATGGTCGGTGGAAGTAGCAGCACTGCCCTCTTTTTTGGTGGCGAAACTGCTTGTGTGTGCAGCAAGTGCTACGGTGTGCATAACTTTTCTTTATTTATGCATAGAGTCAAGTCTGTTTTTAACAAGCAAATCAAACGAACTACGATAAGCGATCGAGTGAATCGTGCTAATGCTAGAGAATACTCCAGGACGGTCACATCTAATTCAACTCGCAATGACCACGGGTTACACTTGGCATACACCATATCAGCCTGGTGCGCCTTGCACCATCACCACCACCATCTATGAGCCCGTCCGCCCCGCCCTGGTGTCCTGGCCTGGACAGGTCAGGTCAGGGTCACGTGAGGTCATCCGAAGGGCACGAGTGCGGGCACCACTGCCGGCAGGCTCGCATAGCCTCAATCTGCCCGAGATGCTGCTCCGCATGACACGTACATTTGTGCGGGTTGTTAATCTATGAGGACAGCAATGGCTCGTAAGTCACTTTCACTGCGGGCGACGAAAGCGCCTAGGCTCTCGTGAATGTCGTAGCTGAGCTGCGTTGCTGGCAATATCCGTAATTTCTCGCATCTCACCCGTTTTCCGACGGTGTCCTGGAAGGCGGCAAGGCGGAAAGAAGCTTTGCGGAGGGATGCATGGGCGTGGGAAAAGGCGAAGGAGGGCGGCATGACCCAGCCACTGTTCGTTAGCATAAATTATGAAAAATGAATGGAAAGAACTGGCATGAGAAAAATAGTTCGGCTCAGCACACTTTCTGGAACGCACCGGTCCCTTTCAAAGGCAACTCTAAAATCGTGCGAATCGTGTGGTGGTGTTGTTCGAGACACGTATGATCCGTTGTGACCTTGTTTCGTTGCTGGTTTAAAGGAACTGGGAAGCCAAAGGACAAGTGCCTTGTGAATAGGTCATTCTACAAACACACAGTCTGCTTCTGAAGGAAGCAAAACATGGTTGTGGAAGCGGAGCTTTACGGGAATCACTGGGATGTAAGCGGGAATTATTTCCCCTTTTCGTGGCTTAAATACCATGGACAAAATGTGCCCCAAAGTGCTGAAGTACAACAACATACCCATGAACAGCAAGGTTACACCCAGGCCCACTGGGGACATGAGTATTGATTCGTATAAGGATTTGAAAGGACTTCGGTCACCCCCGGCTTAGAGGTACCCAATGGAAAGGATTACTCCAGTGGCATGTCGTTCTGCCAAGGTCGTTGCTGGTTGGACGGGCGGCTCATTTCTGACACACACGTGCTCAGTTGGAATTTGTCGGACAGGAGTTGTTCAGCTCATGATCAGTCCGTGTTGGGGGCTGCCTCTGCTGGTTAGAGTTGGGGAACACCGTCAGGCGAATGTTCTTAGCTCTTTTTTCTCGTAGCCAAGTAGCCTACTTATTATCAGCATGAGATACCGATCCCGACAACTTATCCGAAGACGTGAGCAATGAGGTGTAGATTTTCAAGGGCTCAGCACCAGTGTTCTAGTTCCAGTTAACGTTTGATACGGCGCACACCAAAACCCCCGATGGCGTTAGTACCATTACAGCGCTTCCTATGGCCTTGCCAGGGCCGACTAATACATATCGCTCAGGCTGGAGGTGAAGCTGGCTTGGGCAATGTTCATGATATGAATAGCATCACTGACGAGTGTAGTAGCAAAGCTGACTGATAGTTTGAAGTGCATTTATATGCATATGTATTCATTTATAAATATTTATATAATATCTCAAGACACTATGAGCTATAATATGCTATGCACAAGACGATATTGTGTGTGAAAATCAACGGTTAGGCCAGCGACGTTGACAGTACATTATCATTTGGGGTCATGACCCTACGTTTTCCAGGATTTGGGATCACACGTTATACCAACCATGCAGACAAAGTTATTTGCATTGGGCTGTCGATGGCAATTGGGAATAGACTGGAGGAATGACACGACCAGTGAAAAATTGGAAACTTTTAGGAGATGGGGGTAGATTTCTCCCAGCAGCCTTCGCCGAGAATCAGGCGGCGACCACACAAATTTATTGTACGCTCTTACCGGTGTGCAGATTAGGCCGCATGACTAGGCCGTTTTGTGAAGTCATTGAGCCGAATTTTATTGCTTTCCAGTGCAAAATATTTTGGGTCTTTTTAAACTCGCTAACTCTGGATGCCACAAAACAGAGCGAGAGCTCTTTTTCCAAAGCGGAAATTTCAAACTTGTATCGTTGAGCTGCCAACTCTACCGACACAGCGAACCAAATTTCTTTAAACTCAACGATTTTAAGCAGATCCCATCCACGAACTTTGTAGCGGGTAAATGCTGAAAAAAATGGAGCTCGATCTAACCCGAAACACCTCGCTTTTTCTATTTCGTGTCATGGTAGGCCACATCAGGCGAGATTACAATATCAAACTGTGAGTTGAGTAGGAATAGGAAATAATGGGTTGAACGTGAACAATAGTACCAAATTATGATGATGCAACGGCTCCGATGATTTCGTTCAAGGTATGGAGGCATGAATAACGAGTGTTCAATAGGTGTTATTTGTCATTTTCAAGCAGCATGTAACTTACATGACGTCGACGAAAGACGCCGTAGATCATCAACCGTCGAATTCAGAAACTTCACATGTATTGCAACATGTGTACAAATAATTCAGTCATTCACACAAAATGTCATTAACGTGCACAAAACCGCTCTGAATTTTTTCTAAGAAACGTATGGTCTGATGCCTCACCCCCTTGTAGCCCGAGGGCAAAAATATGACGAATGAGTGCCCAAAATAACTATTTCATCAGTCTTTTTGTAACGGAATCCCAAAAAGGTCACAACCAGCTGGTATCTTTACATTGTATGTACATTGTACATATACTTTACATAAAGTACATATGTGCTTTTCATTGTACTTTACTTTACTTTACATCTTTATTGCTGGTATCTTTACACACACAACATAAAAAATGTCATGTGAAGTGCCGGGAGGTCATTTTTGGCTAAAAAGTTCATGTCTCTGCTGCATTCTGGCATGCCATGATGCACAATCTATCAAAAGTCACAAGTTCGAAGTACCAAAAACAGCAACAAAAATGAAAATAATTTGCTAGCTTATATGACATTTAACAAAGTGGGGGTTTCTGCCACTCCCGCCGTTTTAAAACGAGCTACAGGGCGCTAAAGGTAGCTATGTAGCTACATCTCACAGATGTCCCCAGATGCAGGATGAATACCGTTGATCTGATCAGGAAAGACTTCCACCAAAATCTGAAAACTAAAGATGTTGGGATTGAGCTGGTCTACAATTGAATGCCAGAATGATCCACTTGTCAGAACATTCTACTGGCCTTTGTCGCCCTGCGCGTGGTGACCGGAGCCAGGCCAAAGGTGCAAGCTCCCCGCGGGGTGGACTGACATGCTGCCCTAGTGACTATTGTCCGTTGTTCCCGACTTTGCTGGTCTCAAGCCCTGCCAGCAAGCCGCTCCGCTCCCTTACAATGCATCATAGATGTCGGCTGCCCAGAAAATGCGAACATCTGAAGACAGGCGTGCCATTGTTACGGGAGTTTCCCCTCTACTGGTCAGAGTTGGGAAGGGAGCTTCATCAGCGCCGCCGAGAGTCAGATTCCCCTGGTGGTTCTTACACGAATGCTCCATTTTCTCCCGTAAATCTTTTATGTGCCCTTCGTACCAGAAAGCATGAGCCTTTTTTAGCGTGATCGGCGCACGCCGTTTTGTTTCATGTTATGGCCCGCCAGAGAGTATGATGACCATGTCAGCGCCCAGCGGCCATAGCTCCGGTCGGGAATCGGGCCGGACCCTCCGCCCGGAGGTCAGGGTCGCCGCCCGCTGACTTGCGGTGACCGACAGGAGCCTGCTGCAGAAGTACGAGACGGAGCTGCTGAGGGCCGTCCGCTCGGGCGTCAACGTCACGCCCGGCGAGCCGGCACATAAATACAAGTGGACGTACATACATTCCGTGTTCTTCTCGTCCACCGTGCTCACCACCATCGGTGAGTTCCGTGTCGGAATGCCAGCCGCCAGCCGATGGACTCGCTGTCGGCGCAGCTTCTCACAATAGACTTATAAGTTCAGCGGCGCCGAGCAAACTTGTGGATGATTCTGAATGAAGCTATGATTGGACCCGAAACCTACCAAATTTTCATCGGTTCTGAATGTGATCTATTGCATTAACTGCCTGCTCGAAATGTAATCCGGCCGTCTATTTAGCTTGTGTAGTCTCGGAGAGATATGCATGTTTCATTGTGTGTGTCTGTGTGACATTTTAGGCTTTCTTAACGCGTGTCTGAATTTGAATTTCATTTGATTGTCTGGCCATGGCTGAGAAAGGTGCAGAGTTTATCCCAAAAGCTGCCGCTCAATAGAAACGGAGTGGTTGAAACATTCTCTTTATACGTGCATGCAATGTAGCACAATATATGCATATATATATATATATATATATATATATATATATATATATATTTATGTGTGTAATATGCTAATATGTTCAATAGGCACGTGCCTGTGTGTGCTAGGTCTAGGTTAAAGATAATGTCTAGTTCGGGATCGGGTTTTGCTGTTCGTGATGGCTGGTAATCGTGATTACCCACGACTGCTTCACCAACCCAAGCACCATAACTTTACTTTGTGGATGAGGCCGACTGGTGCCCAGACTTAGTGCTACAGCTCCTGCGCAGATGAGCTGAGGAAGAGCTGATTGAGAGTTGAGAAGAGCTGAGTGGTTGAGAGGATGACAAATGTCCCTGACACCGAATTCTGGTAATGTCCGCCTGACATGAGTCTGCTGATGTCTGGTGACACTGGTCTGGTGACGTCTGGTGACACGAATCATACTCAAAGCGTATCAGTTTGTGTCTCGCTCCACAGCAAATATGTGGTACTCGATGAGGAAGCATCTCACGGTGATTGTCGTCATGCCTCGAATGATACCTTCATGACTCTCTGTGGCATGACTTTTCGGCCGAGTCTATTACTGAGACTGTCCTACTCGCCTTGATCTTTAGCACTTACTCCTAGCGTCAGCACAGCCACTCAGATATTCCAACATATTGCGCTGGTTCTTCTGCCAGAACCGGCCGTGTTTTTGCCCAGCGTCTCTGCTTTCCATCACTGCCCTCCGCCGCCCTTGCTCCGCCACTCTAAGGGTTGACTCCACAGCCTCCTGGTCAGCGGATAGTGCCCCACGCCGCACGAGCGATTTTGTCCTCCCCGACATCCCTGCGTCCTGCTTGTTTCCTCCCGTCATTGTCCTCACACGTCCGTCCTCCGCCTCTCCCGCGTCAATATACTCCGTATTGCCCGCGTTCCGGTGCTCCACCATTAGGTCGCTCCGCCCTTTCGTGGTGTCCCTCAGTCACCGCTGCCGCTTACATTGTGCATTCGCTCCATCTCGTCGGGATGGAGGCCACTCCTCGCAGCGAGACACGCCGTCGGCAGGCGCCTGCTCCCAGTGGCGGGATCCTCCCGCCGCGCTGTCCGCGGTGCGTCCGCGGCTGGTGCCGCTCCTGGACGTGGTCTGTTCCCGCCCCGCCGCGCGCCCGACTGGCCCCAGTTGAGGTCCACTTCCTACCGGGTGACTTTTGCGCCGCAGAAGACTGCGCTGCGCTCGGGGCGCCCGCTGCTCGTGTTTGGTGACGAGGGTGCGCTTTTCTCCACCGCCGGTGAGCCACTCACATCGTCGGGGACTTCCCGTGAGCCGCTCCCTACGGGTCGGTGTTTGGCACGCCTTCCGGCCGCAGCCAAACAATGCCAGCATATTTCGCCAAGCCCTATCCATGTATCGCTCCTTTCCGACCGCTACAGTGCGATGCGCAGGGAGTCTATAACACAAAACACGATGATTACAGTCCGCTGTAAGTGTGATCAGGTCTGGCCCACACATGCTTCTCACATTCACTGCACGTGCGGGCGGAGGCACCGGGACATAGGTCTGCCCTGCAGCTGGGTTGTGGCGGCGGCCGGTGCGGCGGCTGGTGCGGCCGGTGCGGCGGCTGGTGCGCCCGCACGTCACGCGCGCCCCGCGCCGCTCTGATCTGCCGGGGCCGCGCGCACTCGGCGTGAGCGTGCGGACGCTGCCGGACAGAGTTATGAGCGGGCCAGCCGGCGCGTTCACACGGTCCTCGGCGCAAGTGTCGCCTACGGATGGCTGTGAGCGATGTACGCTGCAGACCGGCGACGGCGAGCGGTAGCGGCGGCCTCGGCGCCGCCGCTCACGGCCTCCCTTAGACATATGTCGGCCGTTTGTTGATGCAGGCCGTGAAAGCACGCACGGTTTATCGTCTTGTTTGGAAATGCGTCCTCTTGGGCCTGGTGGCTGAGCGTTGCCTCCGCGCGTATTTTCATTTTATGTGTTTGGCATTCCGAGACGAAGGAACGAAGGAACGTAATGGTGTTTGGTGAATGTTTTCAAGTGGAATGCGAAGTTATGATCAACCTTTTTTCCGTAGGTTGACATGCGCAAAACACGTTTGGTAAGCTTTATCCCTATAACTGTTTAACTCTTCAGCCTAATCTGAACTTGCTTGTCTTACGATCACAGGCTTTTCTGATCTATTGTCCCTATGAAAAGCTAACAAATGGGCTTTTATCGCACGTCCAAACATTTCAAGTTGAACAGAAGGGTTCCAAAGCCAGTAATCAACGTGCAATGCCATTCTGCTTTACCGTACACACATCCCAAAATGATTCAGTCATCTGTCACCCTATAAACTGATACAAAACATAGAATCTTTATAAAAAAACGCATGCTACATAACAAAGAACCGTATGCATATACCCGCTGCTTAATATTCCTTGTTACATTATGTCTGCAAACACGTAAGGTTCAGTTATTTTCAACCATAAGACTTCCTTTCACCAAGTTCTTATCTTGCATCGCCGAAGATGCTGCTGCGGACGCCATGCCAATCCTACACACACACACACACACACACGCACGCACGCACGCACACACACAAACAAACACACATACACACACACACACACACACACACACACACACACACACACACACACACACACACACACACACACACACACACACACACACACACACACACACACACACACACGCACACACACACACACACACACACACACACACACACACACGCACACACACACACACACACACACACACACACACACACACACACACACACACACACACACACACACACACACACACACACACACACACACACACACACACACACACACATATATATATATATACATATATATATATGCATATATATATATATATATATATATATATATATATATATATATATATATACAGCCATTCCAAATCAGTGCCGAGCATATTTGATAAACGGAGAAAATGTGTTGCCTAGATTAGCCTTATTCACGTAGAAGTGTGCCAATAATTATAAGTGAGATTATTGCATCATAGCTGATGCTTGTTTCAATATGTTTCAATGGTTGAGCATTCCCTTTGAAGGGAATGATCAATATTTAAAGATATCAAGACAAGCATCAGGTATGTTGCAATGAGGTCAGTTGTAATTGTTGATTTGCTTTTTGGCGTTGAAATTGCTCCAGACAACAACATTTTACTATTTAGTTAACATATTCCTCGATACGTCGTCGTTTGATTACGCCATGGAACGTCTATATGTCATAGTCCCCGCCAGATTGGCTATGCCATAACTGCCATTGTAGCGGACGGGCTGACTCACTTGTAGTACTTTAACTTGCCGAGAGGTGGCAGTGTTTACTGGAGCGTGTTTATGAAACCGAATATCGTCATGTGCTCGTATTTTGGTCGTTTCTAATGATATAATTGCATAGTTTCCCGTGCTTGCATATTGTTTACTTGCATTTACATACTCGATATGCTGCTATCCTTAACTTATTCGATTCCCGGTGTTATTTCTATTATAACCCTTACCACTGTCCAAAGTCCCGTATGAAGCTGCATTAATCGCCATTCGTTTTCGAAGCTTGTACTCAAGGCACCACATCGATTAAGCGCCATCCGAAATCCTTATATCGTGCTGATTTACGCCAAACACAAATAATTTGATGATCATGTTTGTCTACTGCATGACCAATGAGGTGGCAGTGCTCATGCGGCGTTGCTATAACATCATGCATGCCTGGTTACCTTGAAATAATATGCACGAAGTAGTCTGCCCAGGTCCGTGGGTGTCGAGATCAGAGACAAGTGGTTTGAAGTATTGAAAGGGGAAGGGTTGTAAATTTCACTGAATGATTTTCAAAATGGTTATCTCAGTCTAAAATCTCATACAAATGCGGAACACTCCCCTCACGGGGTATAGTTAATTGTTGGCGCCAAAATGTCGTCTTTTTCTTTCTTTACAGCCATGCAAAAGTTGGCCTTGCTACGCTGCACCGCTCCGAAGCTACTCAGAAAACAATGTCAGAGAAAGGTCAAAGTGAGATCCACCGCAGGACGCGTTTATAATGAATGACATGTCTATCCTTCAAGTCAAATGGTGTTAACGGCTAAAAGGTACCAACAAAATGCTATCTCGGCCATCGCAACTCCAGATTTTTCTCGAGTATTTGTCGCTCACGCCTGTAGATCAGCGGTCAGATACTGTAATCATGCAGGTAGCATCAACAGATGCTGTCATCTGTGATCGCAGTTGCAGATATTTACCAATCCCTGTCGCATAAGCTCGTAGATACGTAACCATTTTTTTGAGACCCGATCCTGCGAGGGATAATCATAAACGTAGTTGACGCAGCAGAAATTGCACTAGCCTTCTTCCATTTCTCAAGCTGCTGTGGTGCTGTGTTTCCCCCATCCCCACCACGTCACCGGAAACATTCCTGCCGAGAAGTATGGCCTGCAAAAACATCCGCGTTCTCTAGTTTGAGTTTGAGGAAATGCATAACGCGTAGTGTTGCTGGCAAATGTCCTCATTTCAGTTATTGCTCATTTGGACGTCTGGTTGATCCGATATAAGCTGTGTTTTTCAGAGGACTAAATTACGGCGAA